TAATTGCACACAACAGTTGCATACCTAAAAGCCAAACGTGACTTGCAGCGGCTGAAGGCTCTGAAGACGATGATGCCGCAATTTTCACCAGACGCAGAAGTGTCTCGCGTGACCAAATACGAACGGCTTCATTCGGGTGAAACGTCAACAGAACGAGTGGCCCCCTGTACTGAGTGCTGTGGGCAACGGCAAGAAGCTTCTCTACAGTCGTTCCTTGCCTCATGGAAGAGGTACAGTGACCGCGAGGTTTTCCCGCACACCTGTCGGACATCACATGCTTCATGGCGTTGCGTATAACCACCGAGCAGGCGGAGCGACTCTGACCCCATACGATGCCATCCGAAATCTGCCGAACCAAACCAGGCAGCCTCTCATAACTAAATGTTTGCGGCGACAACATTTCCTCCTCCTCCTCCTCCTTTTCCTCCTCCTCGTCTTCCTCATCCCCCGTGCCGAGTGTAATGAGTCGGTGATGCACCTGCCCAGTTGCGGTGCGTGGTGCAGCGTCGGTCCAATCCAGGAAAAAACGAACATATGCTAAAATTTCATCGCCCATGAGGTGCGGAAGGGCGTCTTTCATTTTTCCTTTTCTTCGTTATTTACTTTCCGTCAGCTCAACCTGTCCGTGGAATAAAAGTGGATGAATGCGGGAGGGAGGGAGTGAGGGGAAAGGGAGAAGGAGATGAAAAAAAACAAAAACAAAAAAAACAACAACAACCCATAAGTGAAGTCAACAACAATAACAGCAACTGAAAGAATGGGATCAGCGTGTGTGATTCCCACAGATGTGTCGCTACCACATCTACACCTCTGCCACTCGGTATAGTTGTCCATAGCCGGCCGTTTCGTCTCGTTTATGCGTCGCACCTTAAAAAAAGAAAAAGCGATAAACACACACATACACACACAGATGCAAAGAGAGAGAGAGAGTGAGTGAGGCCGCTTCCTCATCATCTATGCATAAACAAACAGACAAATGAGAGAAAAAAAAATGCGTCTCTCTTTTTCCATTTTTCTTCGTGTGTGTGTGTGTGTGTGTGTGTGTGTGTTTCACTGTGCAACGGGCATTTTGTCCACCACCCTACTATGTATCTTAAATGCCGGTGTCACCCACGCACCACATGAGCACTGTGAGCCCACCCACGACTGTGTCCCAATCTTTGCGTTACACTTGCGGTTGGGGCAGTAAATGGTGTCCGGCATGACGTCAAGGCCGCCACTCACCTGATGCACCTCACGGCTCTCCTCCGCCACCCACGGGGAGATGTCCGGATCGAGAAAGTAGCTTGTGCAGACATCACCACCCTCCTGCGCTGCGTGAAGCCCTTGCTGCTGCTGTGAAGAGGCGTGACCCCCACCGCGATATTTAAAACCTTTGTTACCGCTGCCAACAGGCTCAGGATAGTGCGGCAGAATCTCGTGGTGCATAAACAAGACGTGTCGACACATGCGGCAGGTGTAGACGTACGATTCTGTTGTGGTCGTTGACAACACCGCGGCAGCGTTGGTGTTCAATTCTGACGGCTGCTGCGGCAACGGCTCCTGTCGCGGTGACTCCATCCGTGTCGTTGTGTGGATTTGTTTCACTTCAATGATGAAAACATTTAGTGTCAAATCAGCGGAAAGAAAAAGAAAACATCAAAAAAAAAAAAAAGATACATGACAACATTCTCAGACCTCTTCCATGCCCAAACAACAACAACAACAACAACAACGAAATACCGCTCGCACCCATTGAAAGGCAACACCAAACAAAATAATAATGAAGATATTAATCAACATCATCATCTTAAACATCAACATCATTAAAATAGTAAAACACAAACACGTATATATATATATATATATATATATATATATATATTGAGAGAGAAAGAGAGAGAGAAACACAAAAATCGCGGCATCCCTGTTGATTTCTACGACACTTCTTTTCCAATTTCCGCATGACTCTCCATATTCATTGCCTCCTGCTCATACTGTGCAATAAATGTCAACAGTTCCTCCGTGATTCTGGCAAGCTTCTCTATGACACCCTTAGCAACCTCCGTGATTTGTAGTGCCGGCCTCGCGTCTTTTAATTCTGTCCCTGTTAAATGAACAGTTGTGGCGCAGGCAAGTCCCATTAGTTGTGGAAGATGCTGCAGAAAACGAACAAGATAACACAAGTGTGCATCATCAAGCCAGGAAGACCCAAAACCACAAAGAAAACCCTCATGGTCCTTTTCTTTTAATGAGGTAACCTCACTACTTCCGACAATCTTCCGAACAGCCTTCTCGGCATTCCAATCATAAAAGTCTGCCTTCTCCTTATCGTACAGAAGTGTGTGGAGAAAAAGACGCTCAAACTGCTGCTCAATAAGAACAATACAGTCCATGTAAAGCTGTTCCTCCTGCCGCGGGTACTCAAACGGGTTGACAAAGTTTTGACACTCCCGTTTCAATCTATAAAACTCCCTTACGGAAGCAGCAAACGCACAAAGAACGGCACGGCAGCTAAATGCAGAGTTATACGTGTGCTGGACGGAATTTTTCTCCTCCTTCTTGTCCGCTCCGTCCTCCTCCTCCTCCTCCTCCTTCCCCTCCTCTTCCTCTTTATTATTATTAGTACCATTGTTGATAGTATTTTTGTTGTCCCCTTTGTCATTATGAGAACGAGTGGATGAGCGAATAAGACGTGCTCGAAGCGTCTCGCGGTGAAGATGGTCCGAAACCAGCCGTCGGCGTAAGGCATCTGGTGTTGCAAACACTGGCTGCAGTGCGGTTGGCACAATGGTTGGTGTGATGTAATTCGCAACTGTCACCGCCGGGGCCCGTAGCGGAGGGCTTGCAGCTTCGGCCGCCCTTCCCTTCATTGCGTATGTTGTTGCAGTCGCCGTAGAGAGAAGAGAAAAAGAAGGGGAAGCAAAAGAATGTGTGCTCGTAACCATTTGCTCATCATCTTGAGTGCTGGTAAAATGCAACTGCTGTGATTTTGATGCCTGTGAGAGTAATTGTTGCTGCGATTGTTGTTTTTCCCCCGTGACATATGCGTCAACTCCGGACTTGGTGCCTTTTAAAGCAGGGACGTGACGAATAACAAAGTCGTCAATCTTCTTGTGGGCAAAAGATTGAAAAGATCTCGCAAGCTCCACCCACGACTGCACATTGCTATTAAATCGAACGCAGTTGGATACCATCAGCTCCACGTCATTCCGCAGCAGCACCAACGACTCTGCAGTGGTGCTGCCAAAGACAGACGACGGGGACGCATCACTCGCCAACAATTGCCTGCGCTTCGACTGCGTCTGTGGCTCCGGATTTTTTGATGTTGTTGTTGGTTGCGGAATTCCCAGATAATACCCACTTGCCGCACGTTCTCTGAGAATGGTAAGGTTCATCTTCACTGGGCACACCTCCTCGTATGACTTCTTCAGCTCCGGGTATTTCTCCGCCACGTCCACCGCGAAGGCCCCCTGATCCTCGCGGCGGTTCAGAGAGTCCACTAGCCTGACCATCTCCGCGCTAGTCGCAGAGAGACCGTCCATTTCACCGGAGCGACTCTTGTCACCACCTCTATGCGGCTGTGGTTTCTGGGAGCCATGGACACCTGACGTGTCCTTGGACTCAACACGCTGTCGCTTTCCACGACTCGTCTCCGCCGCGGTGGCGGTGACAGCAGACAGTCGCAACGACGATAGACGGCGTCCCCCGGCCTTTTTTGTAACGTACGCGTCAATCTGCTCTTTCGCAAACGCCTCAAATCGCTCGGCAATATTAGCTAGAGGCCCCTTCGTGCCGTTAAAGCGGTAACAGTTATTTACCATCAACTTAATGTCTTCCCGCAGAGCTGTGAGGTTCACGTCGTAGCTGTACGCCTCATTGGCGGCCTTCTCCGCGGCAGTCGCAAGGTCACATCGCTTTGGACATACCCGCGTGTACTCCTGTTCAAGGTGAGGGTACACAACTAAGACGTCCATTGAAAAAAGACCCTCATCCTGCGGCCGGTCAAGAGATCGCACCAACGCGACAAGTTCTTCTTCCGGGTAAAACTTTTGCCGCCTCTCCTCCATGTACGTTCCGTCCCCCCCGCCCCTCCTTTCTGGTGATAAAGCTACTATATGTATGTATATGTCCCTGTGCGTGTTTGTGGCTATTTTTCTTTCCTTTTCTTGATCAGTCGGCTTCTAGCCTTGCCCAAAGAGAAGTGTGAACGGCAATCTTACAAACACGCCCCTGACCGCAATATAAATTCCACGGCAAAATTAAATGAGCAAAGCGGTCAGAAATAAAATTTAAAAAAAAAAAAAAAAAAGGCACCCAAAAAGGTGGTGCGTACATTTCACATGCATCCCAACACAAATCAATTCGCTTACATCAGAGAAAACATCCATGTAATGATGTATGAAACCGTTTTATTTTAAGAAAAAAAAGAAAAAAAGAAAAAAAAGAAAGAAAGAAAGAGAGAGACCCAAACCCCTTTGCGTTAACTACCACTATTCCCAATCACCTTCAGAAAAAAAAAAAAAAATAATAATAATAATAAAAGAAGAAAAAGAAAGAAAAATAAATAAATTTTTTTTTTTCTCTTTTCTTTTCTCCAGTCCCATTGAAATTATTACGATACCCTACTGTACACACGCATATATATATCTTATCTATCTTATCTATCTTATTTATCTATATATCTATATATTGACAATCTCTTCTATGCTCTCCATGCAAACTCTCCCCTCTCTTCCCCCCTCCCTCTTTTAAATCTCGTTTCATTGATACAGAAGAGACGCTAATTTATGAGGAGGCGGAGGCGGAGGGGGCAAAAGGATGCAAATACAAAATTCGAAAAGTTTACTTCCGATATATAGATATATAGATATATAGATATAGATAAATAAGATAGAGAAATAGATAAAATTAAATAGAAATAATAATTAATAATTAATAATTAATAATTAATAATAAATCAGATAAGTTTCTAACTACGGCTAACAAATCCCTCCATATGCATTGCGGTCTCTAGTTTATTATGCCCATATATTCCATCCTTCTCCTCTGTAAGTGTGCATCACTGCTGAAACTTCACCTTCTTCCGTAATGAGAAGGAAAGAGTCAACAAGCTCAGCCAGCACACTGCTGTACTCGGGACGAAACACAATGGGATCTCCAATGCTAATAAGACGTTCCTCTGGTGTGCCATCTAACACCATCACGCCCACCTCAAGATCATCATCAATGTCTGCACCATGACTGTTTATGGATTGCAGCTGTGGTGGGTAGACTGGGATGGCACCCGAAAGATTATGCCCAAATCCACTGCAAATGACTATTCGATGTGGTGCCACTCGTGTCACAGACAATGCAAAATACAATGATGGCTTAAAGGGAGAATCAACGTAGCAATCCAGTTGATGTCCACACAACAATCCCGCACCCATACATACCTCAGCAAGAGTGCTATCCTGTGCAGAATATACCAGTGACACACTGCTTCCACCACTCGTCAGAAGATCTTCGGGTGACACCTTTTTCTTGTACCCTAATCGTTGAAGAATCGACATACAGCGCATTTGAAGATTCCTTGATACATACTGCTTGTACCACTGCAAGAGTGGGTACCGTAAAAACCACCGTGCTGGAGTACATCCAATGGCGTTGGGTAAAACGTTAGGGGCAATATCCATTTGTGACAGTTGCCCATTTTCATATGTCCACAACCCTCGAATAACAAATTGAACCCCAACCGGCAACTTCTCCTTCGATAGTTTCGCATTAAATTCCCCTACTTTGCCGCAGAATTGCGTCACTTGACGAGGACTACAAAGTGTTTGTGGTTCCTCGCTGCGCCAAAAACATTTCTTCAAAGAGTCACCCGAGAAATCAATACGGACCATCAATTCAAAGTGCAGTGACTCCACTGCATTGTCAAAGCCCAATCGGGTGTACCCACGATCCGAAATCCACGCCTTGGCGGCATTCCAGAGTAATTCCAACTGTTCCACCGCATCTACCACCACCAGACAACGTACCTTTGAAGAGAAATTGAGAGTCATAGCCTCAACGTAGCGATCGGCACTCAGCGCATCCAAGATTGGTTGTCCTAGCAACAAGGAGGAAAAAGTCCCACGCCGTGCCCACAGAAGTGTCTCTGCAGCGGTGGATGTAAGCAGACCAGAAACAAATGGCCTTCCAGGGGAAATAATATCATATTCTGGGCATGGGACAGCATATTTCTCCATCAACGCTGCCGCACGCTCCAGCAACTCCGGACACCGCACGCCTTTGGTAGACAATCGCACCTGTTTATTGTTTTTTAGCAAGAGTGAAACCACCGCACGCACATTTGCTTCAAAGTTGGTATTATCTACGAATACAACAGGGCAGGAGACGGATGGAGTTGAGGTTTCAGTCGCACCTGACCAATTCCCTGCAGAGGAAGAAGCCCGTGCCACTCCTGGCTGCGCCGCCAAAGGCTTGGCGGTATCCTTCGCCGTGTGATCATCGTCATCGCGGTGTTGGTGTTGGTGAAAATCCCTCGCAGAATCATTTTTTCTGAGAGAGGCATAAAATAGCGACACAGCGCGAGGGATAACAAGTCGAGCACGAGACACGCAACACGCGGCACGATACTTTGTGATTGCATACACGGAATACGCTCCAGAGAGGACGGCAATGGCTAAAAAAGAGAAACGCCCAAAAAAGTACATTTCCGCCTCGCCGTACCCCCTATTTTCTTTACCTGTTTATTATTATTATTATTTCGCTCTTTTTCTCTTTTACACAAACAAACAAACAAACAAACAAAAAGCAAACTGACCCACAGACTTTCCCCCTTCTCCCTCTCCTTTCCCTCTTCCACACCAATAAGCGTTTGCCTTACTGAACTATTTCTTTCTTTTTTTTTTTTTTTTTTTCCTTTTCTCCTTTTTGCTTCACCTTTTCTTCCCACCCACCCACTTCTTGTCGTTCACTCTCTGTTATATGACAACTGCAAGGAGGGACCCCACACGCACACCTCCAAAATTCGTTAAAGAAAAAAAAAAAAAGAAAACAAGGAGTCAATAAACGCAAAGGATATGCACAACAACAACAATTTTAAGCCACATGTGATTCGTCAAGAGGATAGAGAAAAGAAGAAATATACATAAGAAAGATGGTTACAGTAAAAACTGCTGGAGTTCGTCCCAATGTGGGTATGTACCCGACACAAGCATGAGTTCTCCTTTGGCCCATAATAGCAGAGGTCGCTAATTACGATGAAGCGATAAGTTGATGGAGGCGTTGAATCTCTTCCTTCGTCAAAACCACAACACCCATGCCACCAGTTTGCCCCTTCGCCGTTGGTGGACGTGTGGAAGCGGTGCTCTGAGAACTTAATCTCCTCGGAGTGGTTCGGAAGCTGTCTGCTCTTCTTGTCCCTGCTGCCATCGTCATTACGGTCGCCGCTGTCGAGATTGTTGTATTGTGAGTCATTAACGAAGAAGAAGAGGAGTAGGGTCGATCCCGCGGTGTGGTCATCAGTCGACTGGTGGCACGGTTTGACAACAAACCCCCCGTGAGGTTTGACCGTATCGTCGTGGCTGCCGAAGAAGGACGAAGAAGTAACGGTGGCTGTCGCCTTGTGCTAGTAACGGTATTCATTGATAGTTTTTTCTTCGGTGTGTGTGTGCCTGCACCGTACATACACCAGTCAGGTCGCCGTGGGGTGTTGTAGCCGCTCCAATTGCGGTCGAGGACTTTCAGTGGACTTGCAAACAGTGTGATGGGCAATGAGTCGCTGTCGCACACGTTACAGTCACGTGCTGTGACGGTTTCGTGTGATTCACTTTTTGCAATCACGCTGGTGCATTGTGCTTGCGTATCTTTGTTTTGCTGCACCAAGGGCACATCGCTGCTAACAGATGATGCCGTGGTTGCGGCGCTTCCCAAACAAGGCGGGCCTCGAACAAAACTGCAGCGGCGACGGTCAAACGACTGCTCATAGAGAAGAGCCGTTTCCCGCCGGCGTGCCGCACGAAGACGTTCAGCCGTTGTGCGTGGCGCAGATTCATCGCCCGACATTGTAACGATGCAGTAATAAGAGGTTCTCTCTCTCTCTCTCTCTCTCTCTCTCTGTTTGTGTGGAAAGGGTGGAAAAATAAAAGAAATACACCACACAAATTCTTCTATGCAAGGAGGCAGTAGGACTTTCCTTCTATGTGGTATTCGCTGACTGGATGCTCTAATTACCGCTAACGACGCAAACGCACATGTTTCAACGTGCCAAAATCATCCAATGTTATGTACATAAAAACACAAGAAAGTAAAAAAAAAAAAAAAGATAAAATAATTGAACAGCATAAAGAGAGAGAAAAGAATAAAAAAGAAAAGAGAAAGCGGAGCAGCACAGCAAGAAAATAAAATCATCACGAGTCTACATGTGTGAGTCTTACTCCGTATAATTCCAGCAGTAAATAGCCCCATCGAATAAAAGGGCATTACAAAATAATAATAATAATAATAATAATAAATAAATAAATAAAATAAAAGGGATATTGTGGCGGCGCACACGCTCAGCACCGCCGCACAAGTTTTATTGCGTTTCAAAGAAGCATCAGACCTAATGCCTGTTTCTTTTCATCTTCGAGGATGTCGTTGCCGGTGTGCCTCTACGGATTGAATCAAATCCTCCTTCTCGATGCATCCATCCCATGAGATGCCATTCACCCACATCATTGTTTTAAGCTCCCGCACCGTCATGGACTCCATCGCCTCACGAGTGGAGGGAATCGGAATCGTTGCCACGCCCTCATCCTTCGAGCCAAAGCCATAAGAAGATGCACCCGCAGTGTCTTCTCCTTCCGCCGCCGCCGGGATCGGCGAATTTGGCTTCGGAAAACTATTGCCTTTCGTCCATGACCGATAAAATACATCGGGGAGGATCATGTCTGCCACGCGCGCTGCCCGATTAACGTACGATGGGAACTTCTTCAATTTAATCTCCGGAAACTCTTTACTGATAGCATCACAAAACGCACGGGAGAAATGATTGCAATTTCGCTGAAAAATATGATAGTTGGAGGCGGACCAAAGTGGGCTCATTTTCCTCAACACGGCATAAATACGTGACGGTTCTGTGTCCGGCGGTAGGTATCCAAGCACGATGCTTTCCTTCAGCATTTGCCGAGGCAACACAGTTTTCGGCAGAGAGGGGAAAATACCACAGACATGCGATGAACAACCAGCACAGCCTGCAAATGACCACTCTGTACCAAAGACCTCCACACCGGTATGGTACACGCCGAGGCCAACCCACTCATTCAGACTTCGCGATCCACGGACGCTGCGTCTCTGCAGATTGTAGACGTTTAGTACGACAGCCACCCCCTCCCTCCTCCTCTCAGTAGTAGTAGTAGGGGCATTGGATGAGGATCCTGCAGGAACGGTGCTTGAGAATGAGGGTGGAAACCCAGGAGCAGCGGTGGAGGAGGATGAAACCGCGGGCCCATTGCCTTTCGACGAATTCTTTCGCTTTTCTGCTACGCCACTCGTCGATAACACCTGTTTTGATTTTGAATCACAAAGACCCATATTTCCAGCCACCCCTGGCCTTCACTATTACTCGTCCTCTTCTTCTGCTTTTCCCTTCCGATCCTTCCTCGTCGTTGTCTGTTGGTTGCGTCGTGTAGTAAGAAAGAAAGAAACAAAAAAACAAAAAAGCGCTTGTTATATGCGTCTGTACTTGCGGCCGTCCTTGACCGAGTATCCTGAATACACTAGCAATGGAGTGATGGGCAAACAACAGAAATGAAGGCACGGAAAGCATTTCAAGAGAAGCGAGTGAAAAGTAGAATCTCCAGTGAAGCTACATGTCATGTCATGGACCGGTCAGATGAAAGCCAGGAATACTCCGCAGCTCCTCGGCTACGTGAGATACCGCTGGTGAACATCTGCCCAGAAATATTCATTGCGTACAGAACAAATAAAGAGGGAGTGGCAATATACACACAAAGAGAATAAGTACAAGAAAGGTAATGAGAAACAGTTATATATATATATATATATATATATATATATATGCCGATAGTCCATAAAATGATGATAACGATAAACAAATGTCTTCAGTAAATGCCAATAAGAACCAGACGCTACGGCAGACTTCATATTGTAATGATACGCAAAACAACAACAATAACAACAATACAAGATGAATAAGAGTAAAGCAACGGAAATGAAAAGAGAAGGTAAACAACAACAATAAAAAAAAAACCACACGTCTACTGGCACGAACACCACATATATATTCATTACACGTACTCATCCATATATGTGTATATGCAGAGTGTTATTGGGATGGAGTGCTGTCCTTCTCGGTTTTGCTGTCATTGGGTGCCTCGCCGCCACAGTAAAGCATCGCCCACGAGCTAAAGGCACCAGGGGGCGGAAGCGACACGCCGGCAGCTGCTGCAATCGTCTCAAAAGGTGCCGGTGTGTTGGGTAATAAGTCCCTACGAGAGTCGACAGGTATCGTTTTTTTTTCACCCCTCACAAAATCCGTTTCCCCTTCCGAAAGAATTTCCCGTAGCGTTCCCGGCACGTTTTGAAGAGGTGGTCGAAGGGACTCAATCTCCGGCCGCTGTCCAAAGACAAAAGGTTCCGCTACCGTGAGACGATGAACCCATTTACTGCCATCCACGCGACCTCGTTCTTCCTTCATGCGGGCAATCTCCCTGGCGCGCTCTTGCCGCTGCAAAAACTCTTCCACACCTGGTGCTGTCATGAAGGCAGATCCAGACGCATTTCCCGAGTACCCATGTATCTTTGGGCTAAATGTGTACTGCGAGTAATCCTCCGCATGCAACGTACGTTTTTCCTCCAACTTTTGTTGCCGTCGAAGCTGCCAAAGAGCATTGCGTTTCTGTACCCTTAACACGGACCCTCCTCGTACTGTCGTGAAGAAGTCACCCTGATTTGCGGTGTTCCCGACATCTCCCGGGCTGCGTGGATTGGCACTTGCCTGCCGAACTGCGATCTGCCGAGAAACACTGCCCACGGACTGTTGCCGCGCCGCTGACGGGGTCAACTCTGTCTTCATAAATTCTTCCTCTTGCGCCAAATTCCGTTCCATTCCTTCTTGTGCCTTTACGCCAGCGCCTGTCCCTCGCATCACAATATCGTCCATATTGTTTTCATCCGCGTCAGCAGCGTTGCCATCATATCCGTCCGTGTTTTGCATCCGCATCTGCTGACGCCGAATCCACGCGGCGTTGGCGTTGAGTTTCTCACGCTGCCGTACAAGGAGCTCATCAGCTGAATATGCTTCCATGAATTCGCCGAACTTTCCCACAGAGTGGAATAATAATAATAATACTAATAAAGGAAAGAGAGAATGAGAAAGCAATAAATAATATAAATACCGAAAGCAGCAAGTGTCCCACCCTGCCCCTCTTTTTCAACGACACGCAAATTCAAAAAAAAAAAAAATGAAAGGCCAAACTATACCCCTCTCCTCACTCTTTGTTTTATTTTATTTTCTTTTTCAATTTGACTGTATTCAAAACTGTCGTCGGGAAAGTGCACCGTGCCATGTGACGGTACGCCTCCCAGTAACGACTGGAGACCGTTGTGTGTCCGCCATGGCGAAGAAGAAGATGTGGCACCTCGTACAGTGGGGCCTGCAACAGGCACATGCCAAAAAAACCATATGCCTTCGCTACAAGTGGGCAAATTTTTAGGGTCTCGTACGCGTGCTGGCAACGTACCACTTCATCCCGCTGCGCCCAAAGACAGTTGCAAGCGTTCCCATGCAGCTTGCCAACAGCCGTCCAATGCGTGCGGTGCTGCTCTTCTGCCTTTTCCAGTGTAAATTAACCCCTCAAAAGGAAGATGAAGAGGCAGCGGCCAGCCCCAGACTGCGCTTAATATGCCTCAAAGACCCCAGCACGGTTGCTCTTCATGAAGTACTCATCCCCCTTCATTCAGTGCGTCTCCATGGCTTCCCTCCGGCACCTTTTCTCTTCAACTGCCGCCCCCCTCACTACACGCCGTTGAGTTCAAAAGATTAAGGGCGCACATGCGTGCGTAAGCCCACATAACACACACACACACACATAAAAGCGCATGCAGAAAAAAAAAAAAGAGAGATAGATGGAAGGAGGGATGTACAGACAAGTATGTATTTAAACCTTGGCAGCAAAAACAACCAACAAAAAAAAAAAAAAAAGAAGAAGAAAGTTCAAAAAAAAAAAAAAAGATAAAAAACACAATATGGAACCGTAAGAATCCATTTCTGATTAAGGAGTAGGCATCTTCATAAGCCTGCACAGGAATAATAAATAAAAAAAAAAGGTGGGGGGACGCAAACAGTCTTAGCATAAAAACCAACAAAAAAAAAAAAAAAGAAAAAATGTGTGTGAGTGTCGGTTTTTTTTTTTTCTTCCAAATTTGATGCCAATGCCAGCACACAGAAAACAAACAGATGCGCATTCATATATATATATATGCCTGTGTAGGCGTGTGCTTTTGTATAAGGGCTATCAAACTGGCCAACAACGAGTAGCTCCTCCATTCTCGTCTTACTTAATCAGTTTCCTTTTCTTGTGTTCTCATATTATTAGCACCGTACTTTTCCATTTTCCCCCGCCGCTGTGTGCCCTCTTCTGTTCTGCAGCAGCAACTGATCCGTCTTGCTTTTCGCCAGTTCGTACACCACCATTGCCGCACCGCTCACAGGGCCCGCCCTCACCAGCGACACCCCAATTCCCCGGTACATTGCGGAAATCTCCCGCCTAAAGATATCCGTCACCTGCAAGAAGCCAATATTGCGGGCCTGTACAATTGTTTTTATGGTGTCAAGTGGATATAGGAGGGTCCATGTAGCCATGGAGGCAATGCTGCCTGCAAGGAATGCTGATTGACTCGTAAAATACTCCGTGGAATCTCCCACTATGACGGTTGCGCGAGGACCCCACTTCTGCTGCGAAAACACACTAAAGAGCTCACATAACCACCGCCTACTTGCATCATACAAACCCAAATAGCAACTGGCAAAAAATATATCCTTCACGACATGGTACCGGAATCCACGATAATATCCACAAAAACCCTCATTGCGGTAAATATCAATTGCACACGTCCAGGCATTTTTTGTGACGCAGCGAGTAGAAAACTGTGTTTGGATCTTTATGACATGCATCGGGCAACCAATAAGTGTCCCAAAGCCACCCGCAATTGCCCCTGAACGAAACGGCGATGCCCCTATCCATGCAAATATTTTGGAGAAAGTACAACTCACGTACGATGGGGAGGCCCCATGTGATGTTCGTTGAATATCATGTTGCCGAAACGTGTCCCACACAGCAAACTGCAAACTACGCTTTGTTGCTGACATCACCAAGGGTGGAGTAACACCACGGTACAGACTCCATGCCCCCTCTGCACGGGTCATGCTCCAAATTGTGCACACAAAGGATCGGCTTGCTCTGGGACCCACAGCTTGCATGCGGGTCTTGGCGGTATCAAGCGGATGTCCTAGAGCGACCGTTGTTAATCCTTGCGCCGCCCCGGGGAGGAACGTTAAAATCATCTCCCCATCCATTTAATCGCAGTTTTCTACATTTATTGGAAAAAAAAAAAGAGGCGGATAACACGACAAGATGACAAAAAAAAAAAAACAAAGAAGAATTCACTCACTTCTAGAGTCAATATGGCCAGTCCATAAAAACTAAAAACGCAACTACACACAGAGAGAGAGAGAGACATGCAGAAATAAAAAAAAAGAAGGAAACAGATGTACATTCAATTCTCATAGAGTTACAGTAAAGGGCTTCACATCCCACTGACTGTGTTCTACTTTACATCCAGGACAGACAATAGGCAGCACGGATCCATCCTCGTCACGAACCATCGGAACGAGCTCGCCGTAGGGATCAATACGTAAGAGCTTTCGACCGCATTTGCCACAGTAATACGCCATGCGGGGTCCGCAAAATCGTGGATCATTCTGCGCAACCCTCTGTCCCCCACCCTCTTTTTGCCTCCAACAACCAATCTCCTGCAGGATGGGAGGAATTTCAGGCGTTTCCACTCCGACGCCCGTTGCTCTTTTGGTTGCGGTGGGACGGAAATCCTCCACATCTGTTCCCCCTACGTTACTTGCCGTGCGAACGTAATTGTTCGAAAGTTTGGAGCGAATATTCGCGTGATCCCCATATTCGTCAAATGGCACCGCCTGTTCCCAGCTGGTGTGCTCTAGTTGGCATCGTGGACAACTCATTGGAAGCACTTGGCCAAAGGATGACACAGAGAGTGGTAGCGGCTTCCCATTTTGGTCCATGGCAAGAACGTGATAACCGCACATGCCGCATTTCCATGAAATTTTTATCCGTTTGCGAAAGTTCGTCTGAAACAGGGAATCACTCAGGGCGGAGCGGTTCGAGGATCCGGCAAAGACATTTTCTCCCAACGACCGCTGCCCTTGTTCACCTTCCTCCTCCCCCTCCCCCGCCTTCTCTCCTTCTTCCTCTCCCTTCATGTGCGTCTTTAGCATCGTTCCTTGTAAGGAGAAATCGGATGTCTCTGTCGTTGCTTCATTCTCTTTATTGTACGGTAATCTCAAAGTCGATTTGCCATTTCCCTCCACAATACTTCGGGTACCCGCGTTGGAATGCGTAACGACGTTATTTGACTCCCGCAACGCCGAACCCCTCCCTAAGGCCGTGTACATGTCAACAAGTTGAGAGTTGCAATGCTATAAATGTATGCATGCAACTCCCGTGTGCCCCCCCCCCCCACACTTGACCCACTTGTCCTGTTAATTGTTTTTCTTTTTATCGTTCTTGTTGTTGTCGTTGTTGTGTTTGTTTTAAATTACAGAGGTGTATGCCACACGTACACACAGAAAGAAAGAAAGAAAGAGAGAGAGAGAGAGAGAGAGAGAGAGAGAGAGAGAGAGAGAGAGAGAGAGAGAGAGAGAGAGAAAAAAATAAAATAAAATTCAAAAAATTTGAATACAGCACGACAGTGTCTGCGTGTCTGTATGCGCGTTGTTTGTTATTTATTTAATTCCTTCTTCATTTCCGTGTTTCCTTCAGGGTTGTTTGGTCATTGACCTTAGGCGCAAGCACGCATGGAGTTTGTGGTTGTTTTTCTCTCTTTTAACGTCATTAGAAGTCAAGAATATAAAAAAAATAAAAAAAAAAAGAAAAAAAAAACATCAGAAGCAATATTTACATTTTCCAAGTGCAAAAATGAATATTCGCCTAGACAAAAAGTATAATAGAGAGAAAAAAAAAAAAGGGATATAAATATTACATTTCCACCTAAACGACGGTACGCCGTGAATCTCGTGGTATCACTGTGCGTCTGCGTGCATCCAAATGAGAAATCGCCATCTCAAAAGGATCAATTTCCATAATGCACACAGCCTCCACATCTTCCGATGGACACGTGCCGCCGGTGATAAAAACACGTCTTCCAGCCGCCGCCAAGGAATGGTGACAGCGGCTTGGGAAAGGCAGCTTTTTTGTCTCGTTGGCCACCACTTTCACCCATGAAATAGATACATTGTTCTCATTCTTTTCAAGCAAACGCAGGATCCAGGCATCAGACAGAACCTTACCACCAACTCCAATGCCGCCGTGGAATAAAAGCTCATTAGGACTTAACACGCAGGCCGCATGACCGTACCTCGCCGGTGGGCCCAGGGGACCCACATTGATAGCCGTTTCCACCCATTGTTTCTTTTCTAGATTGTACACCGCAACATCATTGCAAAAGTCCAGAACCAGTTTTTCAATTGGCTGTACCACTTTTGGGTCTACCTTCTTGCCCTTTTCTGGACGACGCCCTGTTGGGACCGGGGCCAGACGACGTCCGCCGTGAATAACGATGTAGCGGTCCAACAGCACTCCAGCAACGTGGGAAGAGCGGGGAAAGGGAGAGCTATTGGACGTCTCCACCCCAGTCCGTTCAACCCACTTGCGGCTTCTGAGGTCCAGCGTTCTCATGACTGACAAGTTGCAGCCAACACCACCACCAGCCGTGTTCCCGCCAAAAACATACACACAATCTTGAGCCACGCAACCCGTCATGCACGTCGAGGGCAGTGAAGAAACAGCCATCCCACCACGAATGTGCAGGAGAGATCCTTTATCCATGTCAACCCCCACCGTGTGTGAGGTACGGCCGTTTCTCTTCCAACCGCCAATAAAAAAAACCACGGGGTGCTCGCGCGCCGCGGGAGTATCAGATTCCCCCGTTTTTCCGCTGCCGTCAGCGTCGTTCCCAGCGTACACGCCTTCGTTCGCTGCCTCGTATAAACACGCTGAATCAAAATTCGAAACGGCAGTCGAAAGCACTGTACAATCGTCCTTCCGCACGGAGCACCACTGTACTACTGTTGCCGCCAATGTAGGCCATGAAAACCCATCGGGCACCTGCAGTGGACGGTGGATGAAAACAGGCTCACTTGGCGCAAAAGCCTCGCCCTCTGAAAGCGTCCGCTCCTTCTTATCCTCCCCCGCATCGACATCATCCTGCCTGTTCATATCAATTTTGGAAGAAACCAGCTCCTCGACCTCTGATTGCGGGGTTTTCTCCCGTAATGATGCGCCTTCCACACCCCACGTGCGGGTAATTTCGTCCCAACACTCCGCAAGTGGCATGGGCTCCAGCGTTTCCTCCAAGTGCGCTGTTTTCACTGCCTTCGGAAGCGTGTCCAAATCGCACCCACCCACGACGTACAACAATCCGTTTTTGGGATGAACGTACGAAAGGTGGCCCATGCGCCTCCGCAAGGGGGCGTTCACAGATACACAGTACTCCACCTGTGCTCTTAGCGCCATCGGTGGGGTCTTGTCATCCGTGGCGTCCCTTCCTTTGCCTCTCTTTGGTGGCATCTTCTCTCCCTCGCTTTCTCTCTATCCCCTCCCCTATTGATGAAGACCGTTGAGTGGATAAAAAGGCACAACAGCAGCCATAAGGCATCAAACAACAACACACACACCGTCATATCGCCCTGCAAACACATGCGTATGAACACAACGTTCTTTCCCCCAAAGTTTTCTTTATGCATCTACCCCCCTCTTTCTCTCTTTTTTTTTTTTCCCCCCTCCCCGTTCCTTCCGTGAGAAGTGCCAGACGCCGGCCAACGCCAACGGCCGCAAGCCGAAGCCGCTAAAAGAGGAGGAGAGAGGGCGGTGGTGCCTAAAAAAAAAAAAAAAAATTTATTATTCTTTTTTTTTTAGTAAAGATCCGAATCAGCAACAACAACAAAAAAGAAGACGTATTTATATCAGAACAGCAGCAAATTAAATGGTGACCCTCCCCCCCCCAAAAAAAAAGAAGAAAAAAAAAGAAACACGGATCTTCACCTCCATACATTTTGATAATATTAAATACAACTTTTCACACGGGCCTCCCCAACCCCCCCCACTCAATAAAGCAAACATTTGAGAAATCGCAATTTCAAAATGAGTCAAAATGTAAACTTTACACGCACCCCTAAGTTTTTAACATTTGACCTCATGTATTTTCTATTATTTTTAGTAGCAGCCCACAATAAAAAGAAGAAGAAAAAACAAAACAAAACAAAGATTATGCATGTTTTTTTATTTATATGTGCCTCCTCTTCTCTTTTTTTTTTTTTCTCTTTTTTTTTTTTTTTTTTTAATTCTTGTTGGTTCCCCTTGGGGAGATGTTTCACTCCACGTCTTGGACCTACTCCGCTACTCCCCCACCACCCCCTCCTCCTCGATCCATCGCATCGATCCGTTCAACCAATTTACTGGGCATAAAGCGTGATGCATTGCGTGCCAAGCGATTGATCCAGCGAGGCATTAACGGTGGCAGAATCGCCGTCTTACCATTTGACAGTTCGACCACCTCCCGCTCACCATCATCGTAGACGCGGAGGTTTCCTTGTCTTTGCTGCTCTGCCCGCACCTCCGGGGGCAACAGTCGCATCGCAAAGGCCTCTGAAAAGTGGTTGCAATTGTTCTGCACCAGATGGTACGCACGGCCGGACCACTGACGGTCATTCTCCTTAAACTCCTTCACAAGGTTGAGCACCTCCTGCTGTGATAGTTGTGTCTCGCCAAGAACGAGTTGCTCGCGAAAAATGTGTGGGGGCGAATATCTCGGTGCCACCTCAAACACCCCGGAGCCCTCATCGCAGCGGCCAAACGCAAACTCCATGCCGTACACCTCCACGCCGGTGTGGTGGAGGCCTATCCCGGCGTGGTACAAGACATCATTCGCCTCAGTCAGGTCGTAGAGGTTGAGGAACACCGTGTTCTCAGCAAACTTCCGTTCACCACGGCCCTTCTCCGTGGCGCTGACAGGGGCCCTGGCGGTATCCCCGCTTTTGTTCAACGGCTTCAGTACGGATTCAACGGTGGAGATAATACGAACCAATTTCGGCGAGTTTGCCGCAGCGAGAATATTCTGCAGCGACATAATTGAAATAAGAAAGAAAAAAAAAACAAAAAAACAAAAAAAACACCCACTTCCAGTGAAAACGAAAAGAAATCAAAAACTGTACCCATAAAGAAAGAAGGAGAAAAAGTAAAAAAGAAGTCATTTCTCGGACAGTAAGAGAGAGAACATCGCCCCTTCCCCTCCCCCAAAGGAAGAAGACATGCAAAAGTGCAAAAACAAGAAAATACAAATACACGTACAGAGGAAAAAGGAAAACAAAAGGAAATAAACAAAACACGCATCACTCCACCACTTCATATACAGTCCTTGGGGAAACTTTCCGTCGTCGCTTCACGGGCTGATAGCCACCACTACTACTGCTGCCACCGCTCCCGTCATCGGAAAGTATCACAATATCTGGCTTCCTGAGCGAGCGTACATCTTCGTCGCTGTCGATAAGAATCACATCCGCCTCACAATCAATCGCGGCTGAGACACACTCACTGCGGCTGTGCTCCTTCTTCTTAATTTGTGTCCTGTTATTTCGTCTACACCGTGTCTCCCAGCAAGCAAGAGGAAAAGGATACTGCTCCCGAAATCGCCGTGCCTGATCGACTGCCGTGAAATAAATCGCCTCCAGCTCTTCTAGCAACGCCGCACCTGCAGGCAGAAGCGCCAGCACCTCGCCCTTTGCAAGAGCGTCTTGTGCGACAACCCGCGTGACGCCATTCTCATCCACACGGTACGACAAACTTTGCACCTCTGACCACTCATCGGTTGAAAGTGAGGCCTTCCGCACCCGTTCGTTTGCCGCGCGACAGTCAGCCAAGACCTGCACAAACAAAATATCCAACGCCGCATCTCGCAGTGAGGCTTCATCGGGACAGAAGGGCGAGTCCCCCGCTTCCATCGCAGTGTGTGCCGCCTGTTCCTTCTCCGTCCCTGTCATCGTGACGCCTGTCCCAATCTCCAATGAGACGGCTGACATACGAATGAGGTGCACCACGTACTGTAAGTGTATTGGCACACCAAAGATCCACACCAGGAGAAAAAGGTGCCGGCGCACATCCGGCACCAACCAGCCAGCCACCTTCACCGCAAAAGAGGTGCTTCCGTGGTACTCTGGCAGTCTGCACGGGCCCGCTCCCTCCATAACACACATGAAAAAGAAAAAAATAAATAAATAAATCAAGCGGCACGCGGGCAAATATGAGAAATTACAAAATTTCTCACTAAACCGCCAACCCGTCTCGTGGACTCGCCGCCCCTCAACCCTTTGAAAACGAAAAAAAAAAAAAAAGGAGTAGAGAAAGCTGCAACGCGGGAAGCGACTAACACTGGAATATCGCTTGACTCCAATTATATGAACAAATGACCGTCTGTGGACCGTGTAATTCTTGGAGAAACGGCTCACGAAAAAAAAACGATGGGCGAGGAAATCAGCAAAAACCCATCACCCCAGAGAAATGAAAACATCCAACGCGGAAAAACACACAGATACAAAATACATGGGCCAATTAAAGATTGATTCAACGGGCACTATACATGTACTTTACAAAACATGACACTCAGACTAGTGTCAAAAATGTTCTGAAACTCCAAAGACCGGCATGATCACCCGTGTACGCTTAAAACAACCCACTCCGTGTAAGATTACCAACAAGAGTTCGATGATGCTCTAAAGAATTCACTACCTCAGCCTCTAATTCGGAATATTTGGGTGGAATCAACGCATCCGTGGTGAACGAGGGGCCATATAACCCACAATGCACTCCTCTAACAGTCGCCTCCGTCGTAACGGTGTAGTTACACCTGTTCCCGAGAGTGCCGTCTATCTGACGGGCGGCAATGGTGTTGGAAGAGGCATATTTCGTCTCCGCCGTGCGAGACTTCTCGATCCCTGCAGTCAACAAACCCGAGAGAGGTGAAGCGTGGGATGCATCACGATAAACATGCTCCAGCACCACCAACTCCACCCTTTCACGACCCACACCTCGACTCCAAAACATATAATCCCGCACGTTAAATATGTTCATTGCCGTGACGCCGTGGTCAAGGTCCAGATAGCGAAAAGATGGGCGAAGTACCCCCCACGCAGACTGCGCTTTTCGCACCATTAATCCCCAGTGACCCTCACCCGCACCAGACACGGATCGGCTACTGAACAAAATGGCTTCTGCTGCATTGCTATGCCGAAGAGCCACACGCACACCGAGTTGAAGTAGAAGAAGTGGCGGAAGCAATGAGTAAAGCGGCATTTTTACAACATCATGTTCCGCGTGCAATACTTCAGGACTAGGACGTTCCGCACCACTCTTTAATTCCACATGACGACTCGTCCTGCCCGAATCCTCTAATTTGGATGTTGAAAAGGAATGTACATCTTTCCTGAACACATACAATGTCGTCGTCAGTGGTGTGGGGGGGTGATGAATATCGTCCAGTGCATCGCGGTGTCGATTCACTGGGACACGTCCATTCTTCCATATTTGAAAATCATCCTCGTCGTCAATAATGATATGACACGTTCCATTTGGTGGACTAAGCATCTTAGGGTTGCATGGAAGTTTGTACTTAAAGATTGGATTGTAATCAACTCCAAATGCTTCTTTCATGTGAGAAACAAGTCCGTTGTAATCCTCCGCCGTAGCCCAAAGTCCCTCGCCGGGCAGTTGTCCGAGTAACACAAGATACTTCATGAAGTGCTGGTGTCCCCTCCCTCCACAGCCGCTTTTCGCACACCCCTAACCCCCTCATGCAAATTAATTTATACATTCATACATGTGCATGCGTGTATACATATATATATATATATATATATATATATACAGATGGATATGGGGAAGAATAGAAAAAAAAAAAAAAAAAAAAAAAAGAGGAAAAGAGGTTGCATGCGTAAAAAAAGGGCATAAATTGCCAGCATCAATAAGAACGCGGCCATTAGAGCAATAACGGCCATGTATGTGCAATCGTATACAAAACAATATGGAACAAATAAGAAAAATCAACAAAAACAAAAACAAAAACAAAAAAAAAAAAAAGACATCCAATTCTTCTTGTAATACATCAAAAGTAACAAGTAGAGTGTGTCGTTGTGATTGCGTCCAAATTGCAGGAGCAGCTGTCAGTTCGGTGAGCGTACACACACACACACACAAAGACCAACAACAAAAACAAAAACAACACACACACACACACGTATGAAAAGAAGAAAAAAAAAAAAAAAAAAAAAAAAAAACAGAAAAAGGTCAAACGGAAATATCAAACATGGGCAATAAAATGCAAAACAAAGAAAGAAAGAAAGAAAGAAAACAACAACACACAGAACATCAGTGAAAGTCTACAGCTGCAAAAAAAAGAAAAAAAAAAGTGATTTTTTGAATATTCTGCAATTACTGAGTGAGTAAAGCTGTATATATATATATATATATACTTGTATCTTTCTCTTTCTCTTTCACTTTCTCTCCCTCTCTCTCTCTGTGTGTGTGTGTCAGTCTTCTTCCTTTAGAACCGGCATCCCCTTGCCGCCACAAGAAAATAATAATAATAATCGATCAGTGGGAAGAGATGCGCCAATTCGGGCCTTCCCGCCCTTCTCTCCCCCCTTTCATGCGACATCATTCGCCCAATTCTCGTCAATTTCCGTCTCCCTCTCTCTCTCTCTTCCTCTTTGTTTTTTTGTTTTTTTTTGTTCCTTCTTTTCTTCCATTTCTTCCTCTGTTACGTTTACTGGAGCACAGTTTCCCCCATATTCAATCTCTCCAAAGACACATCATTATTTCACATCGTAGTTTACATCCAAATATATATATATATATATATATATATTTCCTTTTCGTCTTTCTCTTCTTCTTCCCTGTTTTGTGAAGATGCACACACACATGCACGCAAGGCAGTTTCATGTGGAATCGAGACACCCCAACTGACAGGACACACACACACAGAGAGAGAGAGAGACACACCCTTCCTCTGCATCTCGTTGTTCACTTTCTTTTTGCCTTTCATTCCTCTTTTTCTTTTATTTTTTTTTTTTACTTTTTTCTTTTCTTTCATTCAAATTTCCTTCAAGTGTACACACTCTGCTCCCGTTCAATACTCCGGCGCTGCGGGGAGGTTGCGTATCGCAGATTCGGTGGCAGCCTCGTCTTCCTCGACGGCTTGACGCATACGGTTCAGCACATTCCTCTTCTCCAAAACTTTGCGCTCCTCATTCTCAACGTAATGCATGGAACGATCGACAAATCGGTTGCGTTCTTCCACCGACTTGATGCCATACTCCTGCAGTGGGTGCACAAAGGGAGTACCACTGCGCTCGTACTTTGCCAGCACACCCTTTTCAACGCTTTGAAACAACTGCTCGCCAGCGTCCTGCGTTGCGTTGAGGGCGTTAATCACGCCAGAAACACCCTTCATCTGTTCAATGATATCATCCAACTCCAGACGGTAGTTGCTCATATTGGGGTCAAGACTCTCCATGGCGGAGTCGCGGTTGTGCTCCAGGAGGCGGGCCTGTCGCTCCAGTGTGTCAAGGCGGTGCATCTTCTTTACCGTCAGCTCGCCGCAGCACGAGACAAAACCGCCGTACGCGTTCATGAAGGCCTCTGCCTCAATGTCATTGAGTTGATCGAGAACCTGGCGAAGATTTTGTTGCGGGATGCGGGTGACCATTTCATCGACGTACGACCGCAGATCTGCTGTGAGTTCTTCCATCCCGTCAAAGTAGGCGAGGCAGCGGAGGAGGCGATGCTTCTGCTGCTCTTCCATGTTAACAAACTCATTGTATGCCGTCACACGCTCCTCCTCTGCCCGTTTCGCCCGCACCTGCGCCTCAACCATTTCCTTCTGCTTCAAAGTAATATCTCGTAGCTCACGTGCCTTTTGACGCAACTCTTCCACCAATTTCTTTTTCTGCTCAACAATCTGGCCAATTTGTGCGGCTGTTTCCCGCTCCTCCGCGTTGTAGACCTCCAAACACTTCTGGTGGTTGCCGTCCTCTTCAAGGCGCTTTTTATCACAGTTATGAAGGTCGTTACGAAAGGCCTGGCGTCGTTCATGAAGGGCTTCCGCAAACCGCGAAATGCTGTCCGCCGCATCGCGACGCAGGGCTTCCATCTCAGCCGCAAAACCGCTCTCTTGAGAGGCCATATCTTCCCCGAGAATCTGATGCATAAGCTTCGCACACGCGTTCACAAATTCGTAGCGCGCGGCAATTAATTGTCGGTGAGCCCGTTCCACCTCCACCACATCCCCTTTAGCAACAGCGCGTTCATATAAATGAATGGCATCCTTCAACTTTTCCTGCACCTTGTCGCGTTCACCGTCAAGTTCCGAGAGTTCCGCACGCAATTCCGCCATAAGGTCGACATACTGAATTTCATACAGAGCCCCACAAACGTCAGAAAGATCACGCGCCAAATCGGGTGGTTGATGCGGCTTCAGCGCGGAAAGGTTGTCTCGCATCAGTAGAAATCGACCCCGTGGAAGTTGTGTCCGGGTTTCTTGCAGAGTCCGTAAGATGCTCCGAATTCCCGCAACGTCAAGTGGCGGACGCAAGAGAAGTTCCGCCATTTCCTCCACGGTCACTTCCTGTTCACAGTGCTGCATGACTTTCTGCTCCGTCCAACCACATGGGGCTTCATGCCTGTACCGCTCCCTCAGCTCCTTTGAGGCTGCCAGGAGCTCGGAACCGCGTGAGGAGAGTGGCACCAACCGTCCCTCCGTGTACGCCACGTAATTTTCCGCCGTGGCAATGGCGTTCTCCACGAGTTCATAAAGTGCAGCCAATGCACGATGGTTTTCCGCCTCCTGGACCGCCCGTCGTGGGTACTGAGGGGGCACAAGGGCAAATTGCTCATGGTAAACCGTCATTGCCGCAGTTTATTTCTCGTTGCGTCCCTGTCTTCTTCTACCGTGGCGTCTCCTGGAAGTTCACACGTTTGTTCGAAACTCCCGTAAGCCAAAAAAGAAGAAGAAGAAACAAAAAAAAAAAAAAAAAGAGAGAAAAAAAAAAGAATCAAGGAATACGTCAATATTGAATCGAAGGACTTTATCTTCGCTCAATTCACACCTCCCACTTCCCTGATGTTCCTTTTATTTCTTTTTTCTATTGTTTTTTTTTTTTTTTTTTTTTGGCTTTACTTAGTCACTTGACCCTTCTTTATTGTTGTTGCGTTCTTTAATGTGTATGGCACACGCAGGAACCCACCAACGGAAGAAAAAAAAAAAAAAACAAAAAAAAAACACGCATCAAATACATTCAAAGACAACAAAATTAATCCACATACACACACAGAGAGAAAGACAGAGAGAGAGAAAAAAAAAAAAAAGGGTCAGTCACGCAAATTGTACCGGACAAGGATACTCCGTCATATATATGCATGTATATTATAATTATTTATTTATTTATAAATTACTGCTTCGTTGTTCCAGTTTCTTTTTCGCAGACTAAAGGATTCGTAAGATATCTGTAAGTATGTATGTGTGTATATGTGGGGGGAGGGGAACGAAAAGATGCTTACATCATGGGCTTTTTTTTTTTACATTGCATTTAGACAAAAGCAAACAAAAGCTGTTTTTTTCTTTTAAGGATGATAAGACACACAGAAAAGAGTGTGTGCACTATTATATATATAAACACAAATAGAATGAACATGCATTTTTAAAAACACTTTAAAGAAGAAGATGAGGAAAAAGAATTATTTTTTTTTCAATCCTTCTTTTTCATCATCATTTGACTCTGTTTCTCTAAAGCGTTGGCCAGAAGCGGATCATCAATGTCCTTCTGCCGCCGGCATAAATAACACAAAACTGTTACCATAATGATTGCAAGCACCGCACTACCAAAAGTAATGGCAGCGATAATGGCTGGGCTTGGTGACTGGTCATAATTGTAATTTCCTTTCACCGGTAAAGATTCTTTAAACGTAATCCATAAATGAGAATGACGAGCTCCAAATGGAATAATTGTACCATAAAAACCAATTTCCATATACATCATACCGCTTGTTATGTAGGAATCACTCAATTGATTTAAATCCCGTGTCACTTGTTGCAATGTAAAGTTTCTATCTCCACTAAAAAAAGTGTTCATGACTTCTGAATCGGATAGCTTTTGAACAACTTGTCCACGGTACAACAGTGCCATTTCTCGAAACGGGTACACCACGTGCTCAAATGCACCATCCCGTTGCAACGGGTGTCCTTCCACTACCCCAAATGCGTCTAAATGCGACGCGTTAGGAGTCACATCAAATTGAAATAGTTTCGGGGAGCGGGATAACACGTCGGGGATGCCTGAAATGCCTCGAAGCAATGTAATGTACGTCTCATCGTATTGCAGCTTCCCAAAGACAAGGAGGTTGTTCTTTGCCGCAAGAAAGTCGGCAAGTTCATCATTCTCCGTCCATCGGTAACTCACATTGATGTTGAGGAGAAGCGTTGCTTTCCGCTGGGTGTGGATGCAAAAGTCACTCGGGTTGTAGCTGCTGCGGAGCCCCAACGATTTGCCGAGGGAATCTTCGCAAATGTGTTTGTCCTCCAACCGCGCTGAGACAAGAAGTAGTCGTGGGTAACACACCCACTCTTTATCGAACCTGCGTTTCACCCACACAGTGCCGATCGGACAGAGACAGACTGCTTCAACCTTCTCATCGTGTTGGCATCCTGCCCGTTGATAATCATTCAGATTACTGTACTCGTCAGCTGTTTTGCTTCCGCTGCTGCAATTAAAGATGGTGGTGGTGGGAACCGCCAGGTAGCCAGACCAGCACGAGTGAGGCGGTAATGTTCTTTTTGGCGGCAGTAAATACCTCAATCCGTCGTCGGGGTCGACGGCCCTCTTCACCTCTCCATTCTGGGGTGCTTTTAAATAGTTGGGCGAGATCGAAATCGCCCTTAGCTCTGAACCCTCCATATCTGTCGGTGCGTTGCGTTTTAATTTATCAGCGACGGTCGACGGCCCCGCTGCGTTAAGAAGCGCCTCCACGAAGGAATTTATAAGTTGCGCCCAGCGGAGAAACATCGCGGCGGGATTGACCCCGTCCTTCGCAGGACGCGGATATGTTTCTCGCGGTAACGACATCCGTTGCCCATCCGACGTGCCGGCAAGCAACAAAAGCCCCAAAATAAGAATTATCGCTACTACTGTGGAATTCGCATGTGACATTGCTAATAACTGCGCAACGCAATTTGCCCTATAAACCCTGTGACTCCCCTTTTTTTTTCGCCCTCGCTTTCCCAGAATAGTTTTTTTTTTTCTTTTGGTGCACTCTAAAATAATAATAATAAAACGTTCATCAAAAGTAATAAATAAATAAACGACAATAATAAGAAACAGCCCCACACAGCAGCATGTGTCTGTGCGTGTGTGTGTGTGCATGCACCTACGTATGAGGTGGTGCAATGTAATGGGGTAGAACGCCACCGGTGATTATGCGTGACATATTCCCGGCACCGCCTTTTGTGTGCATGCGTGCCATCGTCAGAGACACGGAACAACAGAGAGAAAATTATATGCACCGCACGCCGCGCGAGAGGCACCAACAGAACCCCGCACCCTCCCGATCCCCCTCCTCCTCCTCTTCTCCCTCCGCCGTTCGAGGTTTAAGAACAATGAATAGGCAGAAAAAAAATACAAGAAAAAAAAAGGGGAGGAGAATTACACGTAAAAATGTTCAATAAGCAAACAACCACACACACACAAAAAAAAAAAAAAAAAGAAAACGCAATGGAAAGTAAAGGGTCAGTCACGCAAATTGCACCGGACAAGGATACTCCGTCATATATATGCATGTATATTATAATTATTTATTTATTTATAAATTACTGCTTCGTTGTTCCAGTTTCTTTTTCGCAGACCAAAGGATTCGTAAGATATCTGTAAGTATGTATGTGTGTATATGTGGGGGGAGGGGAACGAAAAGATGCTTACATCATGGGCTTTTTTTTACATTGCATTTAGACAAAAGCAAACAAAAGTTGTTTTTTTTTTGTTTTTTCTTTTAAGGATGATAAGACACACAGAAAAGAGTGTGTGCACTATTATATATATAAACACAAATAGAATAAACATGCAATTTTAAAAACACTTTAAAGAAGAAGATGAGGAAAAAAATTTATTATTATTTTTTTTCAATCCTTCTTTTTCATCATCATTTGACTCTGTTTCTCTAAAGCGTTGGCCAAAAGCGGATCATCAATGTCCTTCTGCCGCCGGCATAAATAACACAAAACTGTTACCATAATGATTGCAAGCACCGCACTACCAAAAGTAATGGCAGCGATAATGGCTGGGCTTGGTGACTGGTCATAATTGTAATTTCCTTTCACTGGTAAAGATTCTTTAAACGTAATCCATAAATGAGAATGACGAGCTCCAAATGGAATAATTGTACCATAAAAACCAATTTCCATATACATCATACCGCTTGTTATGTAGGAATCACTCAATTGATTTAAATCCCGTGTCACTTGTTGCAATGTAAAGTTTCTATCTCCACTAAAAAAAGTGTTCATGACTTCTGAATCGGATAGCTTTTGAACAACTTGTCCACGGTACAACAGTGCCATTTCTCGAAACGGGTAGACCACGTGCTCAAATGCACCATCCCGTTGCAACGGGTGTCCTTCCACTACCCCAAATGCGTCTAAATGCGACGCGTTAGGAGTCACATCAAATTGAAATAGTTTCGGGGAGCGGGATAACACGTCGGGGATGCCTGAAATGCCTCGAAGCAATGTAATGTACGTCTCATCGTATTGCAGCTTCCCAAAGACAAGGAGGTTGTTCTTTGCCGCAAGAAAGTCGGCAAGTTCATCATTCTCCGTCCATCGATAACTCACATTGATGTTGAGGAGAAGCGTTGCTTTCCGCTGGGTGTGGATGCAAAAGTCACTC